CAAAACTTACCAGAAACACTTTTTTCCTGGCAGGGCCACGAGAAAGTGCAAAAGGCACTGGAAAAGGCACTGGAAAGGGACTGGGAACTGGCAACAGTAAGAACAGTAGCTGGAACCGCCCGGCATCACTTGAAAACAACACACGCATGTGAGGTCTCCGGTCGCCGTCCACACCCAGTACCGTAGATGGACGAAATATTCAAACCCTTTCAACCACGTGGACCCCTTCTACCCCAAAGCTCAATGTTAGAGGTCTTGCAAGAATGTTTCGGCGAATGGACGAAACAAATCAAACCCTGGAAACACAAATTCAATCAAGTTATGTTCAACATTGACCTTTGGGGGTCAGGGGTTGGCGACAGTTATTGGTACATGGGTTTGAATATTTGGTCCATCTACTGTAGTAGCGAGGCATTTGTTCCTAATAGCTTCTTGTTACTACTGGTAAGGCACTTGTTACTAGTAGCGAGGCACTTGTTCCTAATAGCTTCTTGTTACTACTAGTAAGGCACTTGTTACTAGTAGCGAGGCACTTGTTCCTAATAGCTTCTTGTTACTACTAGTAAGGCACTTCTTACTAGTAGCGAGGCACTTGTTCCTAATAGCTTCTTGTTACTACTAGTAAGGCACTTGTTACTAGTAGCGAGGCACTTGTTCCTAATAGCTTCTTGTTACTACTAGTAAGGCACTTGTTACTAGTAGCGAGGCACTTGTTCCTAATAGCTTCTTGTTACTACTAGTAAGGAATATGTTGGAGTCCTTGACCATTTTCAACAGATTGCAAAGCTTTGAGTGGATGTGACGGACATAGTCCTCAAAAGACGTTTTATACATACTGGCAAACAGGTTCAGCGCTCATGAAGAGGACACGTGTGCCCCGAAATTTGTTGCTGTGCTTGCACCATGTGTCACATGTTGAGGCTGGTGTTGCATTCTTCCCCCTAGATGGTAAGAATCCATGATATTTCATCATTCAAAAACCGAGTTCTTTATATGTATGTATATATATAAATATATACTAGCATTGCCCGAGTAGTTGTCCGAGTATATACATATATATTTCTTCTACAAAGACGCGCAGACGCACATTGCCGCCTGGTGAGACTGAGATTTGTTGGGCTTCCAGCATCGCTTGTGGGGGCTGGTGGTTGAATTTCGAGGCACTGCTTGTGCACCAACCTTGGGTCAGACACTTGTTGTACTGGAGCTGGTGCTGTTCCTCTTACCGTCCTTGCTGCGAAACTGTCGGTTGTTTGTATTGCTGCTGCTGCTCAGAGGCAAATTGTTGCTAGAGTTGCAGGTGCCTGGAACCTTCCGGACTGCTATGCTAGAATACTGTAAGTATTCCTTAACTTGGTGAGGCGCTGGTTGATGGATCCTGCGCCAGGCCCTTGGCCTGTCCTTGGCCTAGTCACTAGTCTTGGCTCCCGAGTCACACACACACACAGATTGAGAACACGTTTTACCACCCGAGTAGCGTATTTATGGAGATGATGGACATAATTTTCCTGATACTAGTGAGTTGGCGTAGACTTGCGTAGGTTGTAGAGTGTTGCGTAGGTTGTGTTTGGAGTGCATGTTCTTGAGAAGACTTTGTCCAAGCATGCAATGTTGGGTAGCTAGTAAGTGGGCCACCTCCCTTGAAACCAGAGAACATGAATGAAGCGCCCAGCCAGTCACTAGGCCCATGGACCACACACAGGGAACGGTTGAAAGCTGCAAGTGCTGCAATCACATCCAGCCATGCTTAGGCATCTCTGCGTAGGCCCCGCTTAGAGGAAAGTGCTACCTAATGCACAGCGATGCACACATAAAACATCAGAAAACGTTGTAAGATGGCAACTGAGAACCATGCCGCATCCTTGTCCCTACATTTCCAACCATGCCCATGCTGAACCAGGGCAGTTTGTTGTCTCGATAGCAAGGGCTCGAGGCATCTACATGGATCCCTTGTGCGCAGGCATACTGTAGGGTGCGCAGCGGCTGTGGAGTGGGAATCAGGGATTCCAACTTCCCTACATTGTCTCTGCTTATGTACATTGACAGGGTCACTGTTCTTGACATCCATTTCTCGCCTGTGGAAACATGGTTTCCTTTCCTTGGTCGCAGCCCGCTACCAATTTCAGGGAGTGTATTATGTTTGAGCTAGGCTCAAAATTCGTGAGCGTGACAAATAGTCAGTGAGTGATCATGGGATTTCAAAAGCTAAGTGTTGCTCGAAAATCAATAATACAGTCACCAAACCCTGATGACCTGCAACTCCACAACAAATTTGAAAGTCGACCATATATACTGTATATATATACACACATATATATATACATATAATATACATATAGCCAATGGTAGAGGATGCAATGATGCGTAAACCTTTACAACCTTGAATGTTACCTGGTCGGCTGCTGTTTCTGCGAGTGTTTATTCTTCCCACTCCAAGCTAGAATAGTTGAATAGTACAAGGTTTGTGTTCAATCATGTTCCCTCAGGCAAGTGCTCCCACAGCAGAAGAACAGCGAGCGCAGCTTGGCAGAGAATTTCCCTCACGTCTTCAGATGTTTGGGTCAGAAACCATGGAAGCTGGCGACAACAACGGAAGCCAGCAATTTTATTAATGGAGCGAGACACAAGGGAGCAAGATCACATCCAAGTGCAGCATGGTCCAACTCAGGCAGATGATGCGGGCTGTGCAGGACAGGGTCGGAGGGCAGGTGTCATTGCCTGTCATCGCGTTTCATTGCAAGACGTGCTTGTTGCTTGAGTGCTTCAATTTGCTCAAATTCGTTTAGGTCCTGAGGCTTCACTGACGGGTGAGAGACACACAGGGACAATGTTAAAGAGACTGACCGTCCAAGAGGCGAAAAGCTTTGTTTTTGAGTAGCCAGTTGTTGCCAGTTGTTCGTACACAGGAGGATGCCAAGAAGATGCACGAACAGAGCGGGAAAGCAGAGCAAGAAGACCCCTTCAAGGGCTTGTGATGGACGAGCTACTTGGACAGAACGATGATGAAAGGCAATACGTCAATTCAAGGTCGTGGGTACTTCCAATGTCATGCATATTGAAACTTGACTGAGGCGTGGAAGTGCCGGGCTTTAAGCGAGCTCAACCGTTTGAAGAATGAGTCGCTGTGAGGAAGCCTACAGGCTCAATCGCAGAGTAGCAGACCATTTTTTTGATGGCTCTTCCAATTGAAGCATTGATGCTGCAGCCGTTCACCCCCATTATGCTTGAACTGACGGATCTCCGAGCAACATCGCTGCTGCACTGGGCAAGTCATGCTTAGTGTCAGGGGACATCCGGTCCCACCACAGGATTCCTTTCGATGGGTAGCATAGTTGCGCGCATGCTGCAAGCATTGATGTTTAGTGTATGTCTTTATTGCGGGTCTACACATGCAAATGCAGATGTGACGCCGAGTTCGCGGGTGAGCATTCCACATGGAACATCCAGAGCATTGAAGAACAAGACCCAGCGGCACTCAGTGTCCCCCAGACAATTGGCCTGTACAGAAAGGTGTGGCAAAGTCCTATTGGCCCTCCGTCGAAGGCAACGCGATATTGAATCATTTTGGGCAGTGCATCCCACTGCTCAGTTGTATGCACGGGAGTTGCTGACATCCAATTCCATGGGTTGTCCCAGAAAGTTTCAGACTGAATTAGGAAAGTATACGGTGATGTACTGTATATACACTGTAATTGTGTATATAAGAGTGCAACTGCCGAGCCAATACCTTTGTTTGTACAGCTAGGAAAATTGCGGCAAACTTTCACACGAGGCAAGTGACAAAGTGATAAAAGCAGCGAAGAGACCTTGATCACAAACCAATAGCTGTCCAGTTGAGAGAAACACGCATGAATCGCATGAAGCAACTCATCATTGGTAGGCATTCTACACTGCATATGGAATGAAAGCAGAGGGTCAAGGGAATAACAAATTCCATGTCACCATGCTTGATCACCGGCCTTACATTTGGACATCATGGTCCGAAGAGCGTTGGCAAGATTGCAGAGCAGAAGGCTAGCACCGTGCAGCATACTAGCTCACTTGCTTGGAATCCTTGTCCTGATGCATGCATGGATGTCACACCGGTTGTCCATGACAGGATGTCGGCCAGCTAAACCATGGGACTCGTTGCAGTCCTGGCTTGGGCAACAAGTATTTCGGCAGAGCTGGCCACCGAGCGTGCTAGAGGTTGCACAAAAGACAAGATCTTTGCCCGGGCTGTTGCAGATGAATGCGCCCCCCCCAGCGTATCATTCAGCGACATTGGACTGGACAGCATTCACGGGAGAAGTTTATGAAGCTCGCAGTTTAGTTTTTTCTCAGGGAATAGGGCAGCTGGCTGGACATTTGGAGGTTGATCTTGCCCAGGCTCAACTCGAAAAACTCCTCAACTTAGTTGGGCAAAGCTTTGGACTGACCTCTCAGTGCCCGGCCGCCCTCGCAACTACAAGTTACAGCCTTGCAGAAGTCCTCGCAGTCAATGCGAGTCCTCACACTACAAGAAAGCAATTGGCCCTTCTACAGCTCGCCTTGGCAGCATTCCCACAAAAGGCCCATGGAGAGTGCACCCAATGGCCGTTGCGTGGCCGTGATATAGTTGCAGGGTTCTCGCAGCTGGGCACTATGCTGTTCCCTTTGCATCCTGCAGAGGAACAGCGGAGCCACTCCAAGGTCGCCATCGTTAGCGCTTGCGCTGGCCTTCATGGTGATGTTGTCCGCTTCACTGCACAAGAAAACTTCGGTATCTACGCTCATCGGCATGGCTACGACCTCCATTTTTTCGCAGATGCTCGAGAGCTACTGAATAGATACCACACTCTCAACCTAAGCTCATCCAATGCACCGGCATTTTGGCGGGCGTATGCAATGCAAGTGGTCCTTGACATGCCCATAGTCTATGACTGGATTATGTGGATTGATTGCGAGGCTGTTGTAACGGACGTCAACCGCAATGTGGATGTCATCCTCTCCAATCATGGTGTACCTCCAGACGGCCAGATGCTTGTGACCGCCGACGGGTGGGGCACACAGCCTTGGATCATATTGCTGAAGGGCGAGCCCAAGAATTGGAGCCGAAACTTCCTACGAAATTGGACGACTCTCCCATCGAGCGATTTCTTGCATGGAGCCACCCGGTCTCCACCGGAGCTTCGCCATCCAGAGCGCATCGCTTTGCAACACGCCGTCCTTCCTCACTGGCACTTCTGGTTTGAAGACATTCCATTTTTAGATTTTGGAGAGTCTTTTAGTTGGAAGTCCGAAATCTACCTCTCCGTGAGCACTCTTGTTACTTTTGAGTCTGACCAGGGGCTTGAGCATGCTGGTGGCCGCAAGTGGGAAAGTGGCGACTTTTCATGGATAAATTTGCAGTGTCATGGTCGCTTGGGGCGTGCTGCGGGATGTGAGAATCGCAGGCAACACTTCTTGAACAGTCTGGGACACTGACATTAAACGTGTTGGGTCCTTACTTATTTGTCATTGCGTCGTTTAGGGATGTTTAGGGTGTTTTGCGCGGGTCGCCATGCATTGCCCAGCAAGACATTGGGACTCCGGGAGCTGAGAAGCCCTGGCTTTAGAGCAGAAAACTAGTCGCGCGGTCAGGCTTTTGAGGGAATTGTATGCTTTTGTTTTTGGCACCCTTTCTCCATGCAATTGCCGAAGTAGCATGAAGTAGCCGTACGCCGTATGCATTGCAAAATTGCAAACTTAGGTGGATGCAAAGCAGTACCTTAGCGAGATCATCAACGTAGACATCAGGCTGGCAACAAGCCGATTACGCAAGGCCGCTTTTTGCCTCTTTTAAACTTTAAAGCCCTGCAGGTGCAGGTGGCCTTCCATTAAATGTTGGGTGGCATTCTGTCCTTGTTTTGACTTCTTCAATCCGAGATCTCGTGGCCGTTTCACTCAGCCTGGATGGGCAGTAGGTGGGTCGGATCGGTCAAACATCAAAATAGCCAAATTGTTTTGTCAGTTCATGAGCCAATTAGCCAATTACTAGGAAATCTCACTCATAGTCATAGGTTCATGAGCCTTACTTACTATGACTTCATCGGAAGTCAGCATTGGAACAATTCAGTGTCCACGTTTCCACACGCGGCGTTATGTCGATCAAGCTTCGGGAGCTCATTCGGAGCATCCGCGCCTGCAAGACTGCCGCGGAAGAGCGTGCCGTTGTCGCACGGGAGTGTGCGTTGATTCGAACGGCCTTCAAAGAGGATGACAATCAGTTCAGGCACCGAAACGTGGCAAAATTGCTTTTCATTCACATGATGGGATATCCAACACACTTTGGGCAGATGGAGTGTCTGAAGTTGATTGCATCAAGCAAGTTTCCAGAGAAACGAGTGGGCTACCTTGGTCTCACGCAGCTCTTGGATGAAAACACGGAAGTTCTCATGTGGCTCGTGCAGATGTGACAAGAACACTTTTGTGTTGGTCAGGTTGATTGTATTTTATTGTGCTGCAGTTTAGCTAAAAGATAGTTTTGTTCCTGGCAGTTGGGTGGCAGGTGCTTGTTGCATCCAGCCAGTTTAGACTTTCTAGTCCACCACGGTCACGCCATCTCACCTGATCTGTGCGATCAATACTCCAACCATTTAATAGCGATGGCCTCCAACCTAGTAGCATTCTTGCTACTAGTGTGGTCACCGTATGTCACCGTTATAGACTATGGATGTTCAATGTGCGTCCAAAGGTTGCCTTTTCATCATTTCGGCTTCTATTGAGTGTTGTGCCACTGCAGCATAAACGCCTCTGAATTATCTTGCGTTTCCCAATTCTGGATTGGCGAGGTTGGTGACAAATTCCATCAAGAATGACATGTCCAACGACAACCAGTATGTCAACGGCCTGGCTTTGTGCGCTCTGGGGAACATTGGAAGCAATGAGATGTGCCGAGCCTTAGCCCGGGAAGTGGAAAACATGATGGCATCTCCGAATCCCTACATCAGGAAAAAGGCGGCCCTGTGTGCTATGCGGATTGTGCGCAAAGTAGATGAAATTGAGGACAAATTCAATAGCAAGATTGGAAATCTTTTAGAGGATCGCAACCACGGAGTGCTACTTGCAGGCTGCTCATTGTTGACTGCCCTGTTGGAAGTGAACCCCTCCTATATGAAGGAGTTCCGGCGCTATGTGCCCTCTCTTGTCAGGGCATTGAGAAATATGGTCACTTCCGGCTACACTAATGCAGCGGAATATGACATAGCGGGTATTACTGATCCGTTCCTGCAAGCAAAGATTCTACGTTTGCTCCGCCTTTTTGGTGAACGCAGTGCAGATGCGACTGATGAGATGAATGATATTTTGGCACAGGCATGTCAAGAGCAATTTGTGAAGGTTGTTTCGCACTTGCGATCAAACCAGGAACACTTTGAAAGGGTTGATGCATGTTATCCTCATTTCTGAACGGTTCATTGCACACAAGATTTATGCAGTGACGCTGACGCTCAACCATTTCTATGCTCATTTGCAGGTTGCTACCAACACGGAGGGTACCAAGAACACCGGGAACGCCATTCTGTACGAGTGTGTGCTTACCATCATGTCCATTGAGGCTGAGAGCGGGCTACGGGTGCTTGGAATCAACATTCTGGGGCGCTTCCTGCTTAGCCGGGACAACAACATTCGCAACTGGGTGACATTCTTGTGGTTTGTATTCCACATAGAGATTCATATACAATCAATGTAGCTGTAGCTGCTCTCAATTTTGTGTGGGTGCTGGCTATTTGGACTTTGCCGGAAAAGGACCTTTGCATACCTTTGCACAAAAATTGAGTATACACTTGCAATGTACTCACACAATATCTCACAACCTATTTTTCATTGAGACTGCCACGTGCCCAGGCTATGTTGCGCTTGCAACTCTGCAACGAGTGGTCAACGTAGACCAACAGGTCATGCAGCGCCACCGAAATACAATCATTGATTGCCTCAAGGACGCGGATATCTCCATCCGAAAGCGCGCTTTGGACGTCACCTACTCTTTGGTGGATGAAGCCAATATCAAGAGTATGACGAAGGAGTTGTTGAACTATCTCCTTGTGGCAGAACCTGATTTCAAAGAAGAGTTGTGTAGCAAGATTTGCATGGCTGTGGAGAAGTTCTCTCCAAATCGCCGTTGGCAAATTGACACCTTGATCAAAGTCATGTGTCTTGGTGGAAACTTTGTGAAGGAGCAACAACGTGAAAAGTTTTGCAGAGTGGTGGCTGCGACTCCTGAGTTGCACTCCTATACTGTGATAAAGTTGTACTTCAACATGAAGGAAAGCTTGAGCCAAGAGGCTCTGGTTCATGTTGGAGTTTGGTGCTTGGGAGAGTTTGGCGACCACTTGGTCTCAGGAAAGGCCGTGGGGCCTGACAGTCAACCCATCCATGTAACTCCAGGAGATGTGCTTGACCTCCTTTACGATGTTGTGAGGAAACCTCCCACGGGTGAAAAGGCTCCTGCCACTCATTGCTTAGTGACGGCGGCCCTCATCAAACTAGTTACAAGATGCCCCAGTGAGTTCGAGAAGATCAGGAAGTTGCTCCGGAGATTTGATTGCAGCCTCCATGTGGACCTACAGCATCTCAGCCCGCACATGTTTAGCCCCAAAAAGTCACAATGGAACATGATTTCAAATGATTTCAACATGCGGATGCTTCTCAATCGAAATGTGAAACTATGTAACTGGGTTGAGTCAAAGCTTGACTGGTATGTACAGGGCCACCCTTTCTAGACATGAAAAATAGTGGATAAATCCGTAGAATGAAGATTAAGTGAACTCAAAAGTAAGGCAACGCTCCTGTGAGTTCCTGGAGTTGCTGGGCTCAGACTGGGATTCCCACCGAGCTGGGATTCTCGACCGCATGCCAGTGCCTGAGAAGGAGATTGGTGGAGCCGAGACTCGTGTTGTGGGTGATGCCTCAATTGATGAAGTGCCTACCAACACATCCAAGGGTAAGCCTGGGAAAAGTGACCTGTTGGATCTCAATGACCTGCTTGATGCTCCTCGTGAACAGCAAGCTCCAGCAAACCAAGCACCGCCACCATCATCTGGTGGCGACTTGCTGGATTTGTTGGATGCTGCACCTGCAGCGAATCCACCAGCTCCTCAAGCAACTCCAGAAGGATTTCTAGACATTTTCAGTGGGACTCCTGCAGCTTCGCAAGAAGCACCACCAATGGTTGCCTTTGAGAAGAACGGACTGAAAGTGACATTCTTTCCAAGAAAGGAAGCAGATGGCTCAGTGACAGTCTTGGCAAGGTTCGCCAACACTCTTAGCGTGCCCATGACGAACTTTGTTTTCGAAGCAGCTGTTCCCAAATATGTCACACTATCCATACAGCCGGCGACTGGCCAGGTGCTTCCTCCACAAACGGACCTGGTCACTCAAACCATGAGTTGCGTGAATTCTACCAATGGCGAGAAAGGCTTGCTGATGAAGCTGAGGATTGGCTATGTTTGCAATGGCGCTCCGGTTCAGGAAATGGGTCAAGTCGGAGGTTTTCCACCTGGCTTTTGAGAGGCTTTCCGACTCCAAAAAAGGAATCAATTCATGCAGGAAAAAAGGCGGTGTGGCAGCCAAACAGAGGACACACGCAGTTGAATGCACTTGGGCCTGTTTGATCACCATTTTGGTTGGTGTACCTTTGCTGTGGTCTTGTTGTTCGGCAGCGTCCGGCAGGAGGCAGCCAATCGGAAACACTTTCTGAGCAAGCTTTTGACCTGATTGACTGAAGTAAATTATATAACATATATATATAACTCCAGCATATCGTTCTCAATTCAGTCCTCTGTACTGTTTGTAAAACTCGCTTTATTTTCCGAGGGGTTGCATGATCAGGTTGCTTTGACTGGAAGGTTGCCAAAGCCCGAAAGGAAAAGAACAGAGCCAAGCTGCTTCCAGCGAAACCATCAGCAGGGATTCAAAATGACATGAGCACTGCGAACACGATCCCTTTGGCACTTTTTTGCCTTTTGCCTTCTGGATCCATTCGGATTTGACCTCTTTGGAGGCCTTGTGTTCCAGCGCAGGTCGATGATGCTCAGTCTGAAGCCAGTAGCTCATCGTTTGGGCCTAGGCTGAAGGACATCCTTTGAATTCTCTCATGATCTCTCATGCCTAAAATGACCATCACTGAGATTTCTGGAATCCTGGCAATTAGTTTTAGCGTGTCTTAGGTCAATGTTCTTAATTTTGTTGAAGCCATGTCATGTCACAAGTGATTACTGTCCATCTATTCCTGGCTCTAGTTTGTCGGCCCGCTTCTCAAAGAGACCAACTACCCGACAGCAATGACCGAGCGCTGGCGTGAAATTCTTCAGCAGCTCACGAATGAACTCGAGCTACAAACTGCAAAACTGCAAGAGCTTGAAATAGAGAATCAGCAGCTTCGCCGTGAAGGTGGGAAAAGCAACTTGGCGTGAACCAAATAATGGGTATGCAGATAGGATTGCCGAATGGTTGGGCTGGTATGATTTAGACAAACCTTGAAAGCTGTGCAGTGGAGTGGAAGGAAAAAAAGACAACGCGTAGGCTACAGTACTGCAGGCCCATGTGAACATGAAGGCTCAAGTGAAGGCACCCACATCATGTTCACATGCGCCTGCATCTCTTGCAGGTGATATTTTTGACGACGCGTCGCCCACCACTGCATTGAGAAAGTGCCTCGAGGCAGTGGAAAGACCGGAAACAGCAAAGCCAGGCCAATTAGGCCTGGGAGCTTCCCTTGGAGCTTCCTTGAGGAAGGTTGAAGCCGAGCCAATTGAGCCAACACCGATTCAGTCTCCGAAGGACCGGATGCACTCTCAGATCTCCCAAGACTCCAACTTGGAGAGCCACTTAAGCCCTGGAGAGCAAGACATATCTCCAGCAACCAGTGCCTGTAGTGATCCAGCAGTGACTCCATTTAGCCCGACTTCGGCCAAGCCAGCAAAGCCTAGCAACGTTGGTAAAGTCAGTCAGTTGACCTTTCAAGGGCCCCATGATGATGATGATGATGATGACGACCTTGGGGGTGTTGACTGTGACGACCCCACTAGAGAGGCATGGTCATCTGAGAAAAAGAGATTGCAGCAGCCAGAGCTGAGGCAAGCTGCAAGTCAGGCAGACATATTGCTGCAAGCACAGTTCGACATCGTTAGAGAAAAGAATGTAGAAGTGGCCTACGAAAGGAAAGCTTGGTTTGTAGTGAACCCGCAGAGAAGCAACAAGTTCGCTGCTTGGCAGGTGATAACTATCCTGGCCTTGGGTTGGGTTGTCACCGTAGTTCCTTTCCAAGTAGGTCTCTTGGAGCCGGAGTGGGGTCTTCTCCTCTTGCTCAGCACAATTGTAGATATCATCTTTGGACTGGACGTCCTTCTGCAGTTCATCACCATGTACCCGCGACCCACACAGAGTGGGGTGGTTTGGGAGCAGAAAGTCTCCAAAATAGCCAGACACTATGTGAAGACGTGGTTCGCCTTGGACGCCATCACCCTGATTCCTTTTGACATCATTGATCTGGCCTTCAATGCAGACCAAGTTGGCACTTTCAAGGGCACCAAGGTTTTCAGGGCATTACGTCTCTTGAAGTTGATGCGAATCTTGAAGACTTCTCGATGGCTCCATAGAGTGGAGATCACCATCTCATTGCCCTACCAGCAGTTTGCCCTTTTCCGCTTTTTGTGCATTTTGCTGCTGGTATGCCACTGGCTTGCTTGCACCTGGGCAATGACACTGCAGTTTGCGGATCCGGCGAAGCCAAGATGGATCGATGCCACTGGATCTTGAGCAGTAACGACTTTGCAAACTTAGATTCACCTCCCCTCTTGGACTGTTTTGTTTCACGCCCTTGCCAGGCCCTTGCCCTCCAAGCATGAAGGACTTGGGATCCCGATGTTTAGTACTGTAACTTTCATGATCATGGCACGCATCACTCAGATAATAAGGACATTCAGGAGATAGACCAGTCGTGGAACATTACAACAATCGATGACCCCGCCAGAGTCTACATCAGTGCCTTGTACTTCTGTACTTACACTATGACATCTGTCGGCTATGGCGACATTGGTCCCAAGATGCTTGGCCATGATGAGAGCGAGAACACATGCAATGTTTCGTGCTTGAAGGTAGTGCACTTATACTTATTATACTTACTGCATACAGGTAGTGACAGCGAGTTTATACAATGCTACCAATGCTACCTTCTTATTGTAGTTGTTGGATGTTGTTGGGACGTTCCTCCTCACTCCTTGGTCAGCCAAGGAACATTGCTGAGCGCGTGATGTGTACCCTGATTGTCTTGACAGCCGGGCTGTGCTGGGCTTATGTGCTTGGTGAGGTTTGTGCCATTGTGAGTGATGCTTGGTCCGTTAAGTTTCTTGTGTTTTGTCCATGCTTGCATTTGCAGCATCCTGAGTACATTTGAGTACTCAAACTAGCACTATAGCGCCCTTGTTGAAAGAATGTAAGTATGCAGCCTGGCAACCATCACAGCACTTTGAGACATGTCTACTTGATAGCCTGATGGCTGTGGTCTTGCTGCCAAATCGTTTTTGGTTTGAAAACAAGTTCCTTCAGTCAGGACATGAATGCAGAAACTCAACATTTCCGGAAGAAGATGACTGAGCTGAACCGCATGATGAAGGAACAAAACCTGCCATATTCACTTCGATGCCGAATGCGGAGCTTTTTCTTGCAAAACCGCTACCAGGCTTTGTACGTGACAAGGCAGAGGCTTCGTGAATGCATGAGCCCACAGCTGCAGTCAGAGATTTGCACAGCTGTGAATGCGCCATGGATCCAGAAAGTGTCCTTCTTCAATACCTTCATGACAGTAGTGGAGGCCAGCGAGGGAAATGGTGAAGATGTTGATGCGCACAGGGCCTGCATTGCAGACGTTTCCCAGGCTTTGGAATGTGGTGCATTCGCTCAGGGGGAACGCTTTGACAATGTGCAAGTGCTCTACATTGTGTCAAAAGGCATTGTGGCTTTGAACAGCAGGGTAGGCACCAATGGAGCTGTTTGGGGAGAGGACTTTGTCTTGTCCGACACTGAGCTCATCCGCCCCATCAAGGGCTGTGCCCTTACATACCTTGAGGTCTTGTTTTTGACCAGAGATGTCTTCATGAGGGTCATTGAGAAACGGAAGAAGACTTGTCCCCTACTGGGGCAGATCGTGCGCAAGTTTTGCATCCGCTTGGCAGTCCGTAGAGCTTTCGTGGCGGAAGCAAACCGCAGGGCTGGTTTGGACACAGTGCAGAAGCGTCAGGGAGCTATTTTGGTCAGGAAGAGTGTCGTTGCACCGCCAGTTTCAATTCCACCTACTCAGGCTCGCCGGGTTGATGAAAGTGTGCAACACTTGGGGCTAGCGAAACTGGTATTTGGGAATCTTTTGGTCGTTTGCACACTCCACACTGGCAGTTGAACATCATCCCATGCCGTGAGTGAGTTTGTAGATCACACGCCGCCAGGAGATCCGTCCACATCATTCACTACCTGGATCTTTGGCTGAAGACTGCTGATTCCGCTGATTCCACTATATAATCCTGTTTCACCTCAAGAGATACCTTACGGTATAAACAAAAGTCTTGCCAAGCTTGGACAAGCTTTGAGCATTGTTGAATGTCATCAAGTGCTTCAGACCATCACAGAGTGCATGTTGGACTCTGTCAAAACTTACTGACTTACTGCTTCCTTCTGTGATTAAAAAGGGCTTGGCATGCATGACGCCTCTTGGCAGCACCATTATCCGAAGACATGGTGCCTAGCACTACTACGTCTCTAAAACTTTAATTCGCTGTGAACTGCACCGACGAACACCGAAGAACCGCGCTGAAATTACATAAAAAAAGGCCATGCTGGTTCAATAGGATTGCAAATGTCGACTGTCATTGGCCGCGCGTATGATGGCATCAGATCCTTCTGAATGACATGGTTTGCAATTGCTCTGTAAAGCTCCATGTGCCGCACCCGATGGAAGAAGCACAGTCCAAGGTCTGCCCCAAGGAAGCCGCCTTTGAGCCCGAAGAGCGTTGCAGAAAGCCAGCGCCCCACGACCATTTGAGCAACTGTGGATGGGAGCCTGGCGAGTCCAATCTTCGAATTGTGAGACACGCAGCTTCAAATTCCTCTCAACAAGCTTCAACTTCCTTGTCAGCGATGGTAAAGAATTGGATGAGTTCTAAAGCTAGTAGAAGTAGATGCCCGTAGCATCTTGACCTTGAAGTCAGGATGGCATATTCTTTCAGCCGCGACACTCGGGGCTTTAAGTGGCCTTAAGGGTTTCGCTGGAAGAAATTGGAGAACACAAAGCTTCGAAGTGCTCAGGCATTCCTCGAAGTGTGGCAGACAGCCCGCCAAGGACACTAACAGAGCGGATGACAGCACCTCGCGCCGGGAACGACCATTTTGCTTTGTTCACTAGGGGAGGGGGTTGATGGGACGAACCCTGGCTCTAGTGCAAAAGCTCGCCTGGTTCTAGACAGAGAGAGGGGTCCACAAGAGCGAGTAAGGGCGAACGAATGGACCCTGTCTAAGAGCGGTACACGGCATGCGGCTTTTTGCAACATGCTGATACCTTGGGCATCCTTGCGCCAAATGTTACATTGCAAAAATGTGAGAACGCATTTTGGAAACAACACCTAAAGCCGCAGGGAAGCAGAAACACGTGGTGAGTGCGGGGGGGTAATGACGTCTGGTACGATCAGCAATGTCCATATTTCATGATGGCTTCATTCAGGAATTTTACATTTGTTTCTGCTTCAGGAGCTTCATCTTCATTTGTGTGTCAACAACAAGGTTGGTGGTTCACAGGTCTTGGATCGAGGCAATGTTTCGGCCATGGGGTCGCATGACATCCAAGCATTCAACAAAAAGCAAAGGGGCGCGATGGTTGAATGCAGACCAGCGCAGCGTAGGTATCATTCGCATTTTTGCTTGGTAGCACAACCATTGCACACATGTGGAAATTCGCTCGGGAAAGAGCTGGGCTCAGGCAGAGACGCTTGAAAGAAGTTGGTTCTTGGAAGCGAGAGGGATACATTGTGAGCATTTGCGTTTCGTGAAAATCGTGGTTTTGCTACATCAATGAACCAATCATCCACCTGACCGCTTTGTTGCATGTGCCTGGCCAATTTTTTCGTACTTCCAACATGCCATTGTTGCACATGAACTATATACTGTAGCCTCAAAATGGAAAAATGAAGGGGCATTTTGCATACTGATTCAAGAAACCACTGAGCTGGTTCGGTGCTCCAAAGGTGCCGCAATCGTCTTTAGAGCAGAACAGGGGACCACCAGAGTGCAGTTTTCTTGACTTCCGCATTAAGGAAATCTGCCAGAATTTTCTTTGTCGGTGTGCGACATAAACTTTCCACTGTTCTTTGCCTCATTCATGCCATGTGCATCTGAAAGCTGCCTCAATGTCATTTGCAATGAGAAAACCCAAACAAACACCAAAACCTTAAGAAAACCAAACAAATGTGTGTGTGTGTAGTCTTGCTCTGCCACAGCCTGGGTTCATAGCAATGAATGGCTGGAGGCAGTGTTCCAGGCGCAAAGCGCCCAACGACAAAAAATTTGCCAAAGGCAGATAGTGGTCTATCCGTAGATTTCAATGTCCAGCAAAAATCCTGCGAAGGCAAAGTGACTGCTGCAGCGAAGACAGCAAAACCGTGTCAACTCATGCTTCCGTCAAGCGGACAAGCCAACAGAAGGAACATCACAGCTGGGTGCGGAAGGAGCGATGAGGTGCCTCAGGAACCGCAAAGCACTCCGCTGCCTATCAAGCGCTGAAGCAGACCAGGCCACTGCAGCATCAAAGGTAAATTTCCAATCAAGAAGCTCGTGCACAGACCGAGCGGCCTGTTCCTGAGCTTTGGCGTCAGCTCGCTTGTTGAGGAGTCTCCAAGTCTCAGCCATGTGGCCAGCAAGGGACGGGGTCCAATCAAGAAGCTTATCGTGCGAAGGCACCCACGCAATTTCGTGGGTGGAGCAAACTAAGCTTAAGGCCTTCCACAGGCCCGGCGCCCACTGAGGCAAATATCCCGTCGTTTGGATTTGCTTCACACGTCTGACGACTGCAAGGTTATCACAAACCAACAGAAGATCTACGCGCAAATGAGTCGCAGCAATGAAAGCTTTCAAAACAGCAACCGATTCAGCGCCAAAAATGTTTTGATCCAGTCCCTGGAGACGGGCAGCAAAAACCCGGTCGGTTGTTGCGACACTCCAAGCAGCCCTGCGCAGATTCTGGACCTTTTGAGAACTACCATCGGAAGCTACCAAAAGTACCTGGTCGGCCGTGGCAGTCCTACGAAAAAGATCACACAATTTCGGATCCGGTCGCAAAAACTGGCTACACCTTTCATCAGGTATGGGAGGAAGTTGGATGCTAGGAACGAGCAAACGTTCCTCAGCTTTGCGTGTAGGCCGAGAAGCCTCAGGCAACCCTGGGCAAGAAGGACAATGCCACGTGACATGTGTGCGTGAAGGCCATTCCCTCCCGCATGCACAATTGAAGGACTCAAGCTCATGCTGCTTGGCGAGTTTACGACTATCTTTGCCAGCGCCGACCGCAATGCAGAAGGACTCCCAATCAGAGACGCCCTGACGCATCCAAGCTCAGGAGGTCTTTGCCATGCCCCACCTTCTCTGCAAAAGAGTGCTGGAGAATTGCTTTATTGTTGTTTTTTGTTTTCTCGAGGTTCTGGTCTGATCCTGATTACTGTAATCTAGATTATCCTGATGAATAGCATTCTACTTCAAGACTCCGGCACTTAGTTCCAGCCTTCTCGTCCCCAAATTGAAAGACTTGGGCATGGTTCAAATCGAATCTTATTTTAAAACAAATGATCAATTCCAATTATATAATTTCCAAAAAACTTTAACCTTAAACCAGTTAAGTTTTACTCTATAATCTGAATTTGATTCTGATTTGTTTCAAATTTTCTTATCACTTACTTGTTCAACTTATATAACTCAAGTATAGCTCAAGTTCAAGTCATTGAATTCTAGTTTAATTGTTTGACACTTCTATTTTGTTTATGTGTACCATCTAATTCTAATCTAATTTCTTGAAACACATAGGTTCTAACTTAATCATAACTTAATTCTACACTGAATTCTAATTCTAACTTAATGCCAATCTGAGTCTAATTAAACATATTTCTGATGTTCGACTTAATTCATGTTTTAAATTCTAATTTAATGATATTCTATTTCTTATTTATAAGTTGATTTTCATTCTATATATTATATATGTTTAGAACATTTTAGAACCAATTAGTATGTATATGGAGTCCGGCCAAAAGTCTATTAAAAAAATAAGCAAAAAATAGACTAGACGACGAGTGGCCCGAAAGCATTTTTCATCACGTAGGAAATCAGAGTGCGAGTTATCCGGTAAGTGTGTAGTGAGAAGTGTTAAGTCGAGTGAGTTGAGGTAGTGTGTGGGTTTCTGTGGGTGTGTCTATGTCCGTGTGGAAACGAGTCTGCGTATGTGTGTGTTCGTGAAAGTTGAGGGAGTGTGTGGGTGTCTGTGTGCGATGCGGCCTCCCAAACCCCCCACCAGCGGCCAAGCGGTGACAGCCCAGCTCATCGTCGTGAGCATTTGGGCTGCTGGTAAGGGGAGAAGCAGCGTGCACGGCGCCAGGAAAAGCTCACGGAAAAAAACGAACCGGAATGAGGACACAAAAGTGCCAAGGCAGGTGCGCCAGAAGTGTCTCGAAGCAGTGACCTGTCAGAGGAGATGAACGAAGTAGCG